GACCCGTGCCCTGGCCCATGCCCAGGCCCAGCAGCGCCAGGCCCAGCGCCAGGCCCAGCGCCTCGAGAAGGATAATGATGCCCTGAGAGCTACCCTGGGCAAGGTGAGTGCTGGGGAGGCCAAAACCTCACCCTGGGGGCCAGGGCTGGGGCAGAGCCCATGGAAAAGATGTATGTAATCTATATACGTGTAGTGTATCTCTCTCTAACAAGTATCTAACAGATCTGTGTGTGTTTTGTCCCCGAGGTGGAGAGGGAGAAGCTGCAGACACAGGAGGAGTCTCTGCGGCTCTCGGCGGAGCAGGGTCGGCTCGATCGCTCCCTGGGCACGGCCGAGCGGGAGCTGGCGGAGGCACGGAAACGAATCCACGTGCTCCAGGGGTGGGGATTTTCAGCAGCCCAGGGGCAGGTGGGGGCACCTCTGGGTGCTGCCCCCAGTGCTTGTGGCAGGAGGGGCTGGGCAGTTCCTTCGGGGGCTCATCCCAGCTGGAATGGTGCTGGTAAGGGGAGGGTGCTGGGCTTCTTTTGGGTTCATTCCAGTTTGGGAAGATGGTGGGGCTTGTACTGGGATGGGACTGGGCTCATTCCAGCATGGAAGGGATGCTGGTGCTGGGACTGGAATGGGACTGGGCCCATTCCAGCATGGAAGGATGCTGGTGCTGGGACTAGGCTCATTCCAGCTTGGGAAGGATGCTGGTGCTGCTACTGGGATGATGCTGGGTTCATCCCAGCTTGAAGGGAAGTGCTGGTGTTTGTAGTGGGATGGGGCTGGCCTCATTACAGCTTGGGAAGGATGCTGGTACTGAGATGGTGCTGGGTTCATTCCAGCTTGAAGGGAAATACTGGTGCTGGTACTGGGGTGACGCTAGGTTCATTCCAGCTTGAAGGGAAATGTTGGTGTTGGTGCTGGTACTGGGATGGTGCTGAGTTCTTCCCTGGTCTTATCCCATTTGGAAAAGTGCTGTTACTTGCACTGGGATGGTGTGGGCTGGTTTTGGGGTGCCTCTCCCGGCCAGTGCCCACTTTTGGGGTGCCCAGGCACGGGTGTCAGCACTGGAGCATCACTCTCCGAGTCCTGGATCCTCTCCGGAACTGCAGCGGGAACTGGAGCGTCTGCGCATTGGCCACCGCCACCGCGGCCTGGAGGAGCAGGTCAGGGGGGACACTCTGCAGGGGGGAGATGTGTGTCCTCCTCTCCCCCCATACCTCACCCCAACTCCTTGCAGATTGCACTGCTGAAGGAGCAGGAGCTCCAGCGTCATCCCACCAGCATTTAGGGACCTTCTGGACAGCTGCAGAGACCAGCACAGCTCATCCCGTGGGTGAGGGGGAACCATCCCCATCCCTGTGCTCCAAACCCACAGCAGAGACTGGCACAGCTCATCCCATGGGTGAGGGGGAACCATCCCCATCCCTGTGCTCCAAACCCACAGCAGAGACTGGCACAGCTCATCCCGTGGGTGAGGGGGAACCATCCCCATCCCTGTGCTCCAAACCCACAGCAGAGACTGGCACAGCTCATCCCGTGGGTGAGGGGGAACCATCCCCATCCCTGTGCTCCAAACCCATGGGGATTTTTCTCTCATCATTCCCTTTTCTCCAGCAAGAAGCTGCACTTTACCAACATGACAACACTTGTCTATTTTTGATACAATTTGGGGCCTGATGGATGGTATTTTCCCCATTTTCCTATTAACAAAAAATTTGAAATATCCCCTTTTTTAACCCTAGGAGAACCAACTGATTTATTCCCCCCTGACCTGGGAAGCTCCTCCAGCCCTCCAAGCCCTATCACTCCCTATATCCTAATTTTTCCCCTTTTTCTAACAAAAAACTACCTAGGGTGGTGTTTTTGAAGGATTATTTTCTAGCAAATAGTGGGATTTTTATATGGCTATTTTTGGAATTTGAGGTTTTTACTGGTGCTCCAAGGCAGCTCGAGGTTGGAAAAGCCACTGGCAGTGAGGTGGTGGCTTCGAGCGTGTCCTGATCCTCCTCAGTTCTGGCACAAATAAATTGCTCCATTCCTCTCATCAACTTTGTGGCTCCTCTGGACTTTCTCCAAGAGTTCCATGTCCTTATGTTGAGGACACCAGAACTGTGTGCAGTATTCCAGGTGGGTTTCACCAGAGCCAAGCAGAGGGGAAGAATCACCTCATTTGACCTGCTGCCCAGGATATCCCCCCAACAACCCCTCCAAAATCAACCCCAAAACACCCTCAAGCCCCCCAAAACCATCACCCACAGTTTTTCCCATGTGTGCAGGTCTAGGAATGGCTCAAAGCATTAGAAACCCTCCCCCAAAAAATTGGGAAACCCCAAAAGAAATTGGGAAAACCCTTTCCAAACAAATTGGGAAAAAATGAGTCAGGAGCCACATTGACCCTTACACTTTATGTCCTGGATACTCTAGGTAGAAAATTGGGGTGCTCCCCCTTTACAATATAATAAAGAAAGTAATAAAAATAATCCCTCCCCCTTTTAATTATTATGTGCACAAAACCATGGGATTTTTTTGGGAAAAATGCTCTTTCATGCACGGATTCTTTAGCACCACGGTGAGGATCTGGAGCGGGATGGGGAGCTGGGAGAGGAGGATGGGAAGGGGTGAGGATCCCGGGATGTGGGTCCCCTCCAGCTCAGCACCCACCGCAGCTGCGGGCGCAGGAGGCACCCACGGTTTGGCAGAGGCCACTGGTGGCCATCACCCCACACTTGGAGAACTTGTCGCGGCACAGATCAGCTGTGGGAAGAGAGAAATCATCCATAGATGCTGGAAAAAAATAGGGAAAAGCAGCGAGACACCTCCAGATGGCGCCGGGAACATCGTGATGCTGCAGGAGGATGGCTCAGCCCCCTGAAACACCATCCCACTTTGGTCCAGTGGTTGCTGGTGCAACTTGGTTTGGTCAGCAAGATTTTTCCTCCCCAATATCATGGGAAAAAGGATGATGTGGATGGGGTGACCCCAATGTGTTGGGAAAAGGGGTGACATGGATGGAGTGACCCCCAATTTGTTGGGAAAAGAGTTGATGTGCTTGGGGGTGACCTCAGTTTGTTTGGAAAAGGAATGATGTGGGTGGAGTGACCCCAATTTGTTGGGGAAAGGGGTGATGTGGATGGAGTGACCACAATTTTTTGGGAAAAAGGATGATGTGGGTGGAGTGACCCCAATTTGATGGGAAAAGGGGTGACATGGATGGAGTGACCCCAATGTGTTGGGAAAAGGGGTGACATGCATGGAGTGGCTCTGAGTTGTTGGGAAAAGAAGAGACATGGAGTGACCCCAATTTGTTGGGTAAAGGGGTGATGTGGATGGAGTGACCCCAATTTGTGGGGAAAAAGGATGACGTGGATGGAGTGACCACAATTTGTTGGGAAAAAGGGTGACATGAATGCAGTGACCCCAGTTTCTTGGGAATAAGGGTGATGTGGTTGGAGTGACCCCAGTGTGTTGGGAAAATGGGTGATATGCATGGGGTGCCCCAGTTTGGGGTGCCCTTACCTCGGAGCAGCTCTTCGTGGGCACACACGGTGCGGACACAGATCTCCTTGTTGATGACATAGACCCGGCGGAGGCTGATGTGAGGGGGGATAAAAGAGATGGGGAGTTGGTGTAAAAGCAAAGAGGTCCCCAAAATATCTGTTGAGGGAAGATTTTTTTTCCCCCCCTCCCCACTGACCTGTAGAAGCAGATCTCATTCAGGCACTGCTTGCAGGGTTTGTGCACGGAGTAGAGCCTGGTGCAGGGATACTGCTCCTCCCGGCAGTCTGCAGGGAGAACAGGCAGCTGAGGGCTGGGAATTCCATAGGGAGAGGCCTGACAGCCCAGGGATGGGCACAGCATTCACTTGGGGACCTCCCCCCCCTCTAATTGTCACCCTCACCCCAGAGGACAAACCTCACCGTGGGGACTGAGGAGGGGGATAAACACTCACCGAGGGGTCCTGGCTCTGTGGGCTCAGTCTCAGGAGCAGCAGCTAAGGGGGAGAAAATTTACAGCTGGAGCTAAAGCTCACTGCCTTTTCCATGGATTTTAGGGCTGGAGTTTCTGCTGCCACCCATAAAGCTGCTCCAGGGGGAGCACAGCCAGGCTAAGGGTGCAGGGAGAGGATGGAAAACCCCCAGTCCTGGGACTGGGGGAGCTGGAGTGGCTGTCACCTCCCTGGGGTGACTGTCACCTACCTGGGGTTGGAGCTGGCACAGTTTCCTGCTGGGATTGCTGCTGGGATTGGTAGCGAAACTGCTCCTCAGGGGCACGGGGGGTGACATCTGCAAGGAGAGAATGTAGGTACACCCCAAAAACCTGTGTGTGTTTCCCCCCCAGAGCATCCCAGACGGGAACACTTACCATGATAGTCGTAGTAATCCTGAATTTCTGGGGAATAAAAGAGAAAACAGAGGATAAGGATGGGTTTTAGGGAGAAAGCACACCCCAGTGGGGCCAGGATTGGGCAATGATCTCCCCAAAACATGATGGGAAAACTCCAGGATGAACGTGGACAACAACCCCCCAAGGGTTTTTTGAGATGTGGGAAGGTTTGCTAAATAATTGGCGGCAGAAGGAAGAGGAAGGAGATGGGAAGGAGGAGGCTGGAAATTTAAGGGGCAGGAGAGAAAAGGATGGAGCAGAGTATTGGAGCAAAAAGAAGGATAAGAGTGATGAGTATTTGGTCAGAGAAAGCAAAAAATTCAGGGAAAAAGATGGGAGAGAGAAGTAGGCAATGAATTCCCCAGTTCAGGGTGCTTTTACCTGACTGCTGATCATACTGGGAATACTGGACCGGCTCAGGATAGGTGATTCCTTCAAACCTGCTGTACTGTCCCTGGACCAGGAGCACTGCTGGGAGACAGAGCAGGGGGAGAGGCATCACCAGGAGGGGCATGGACACCCCCAGCCCTGGGATTTGGGGTTCCCTGCTCTGGTTTTGCATCATCCCTCAAAATCCCATCCCGTGACTGTCCTCAGGGACATGCTGCCTGGAGAAGAGGATGGAGAGGGAAGTGGGATGCTCAGGGATGAAGGACAGCACCAGCCCAGGGTTCCTACACTATCCAGGGGTGATCCCAGGGGATCCCATGTCTTGCAGCACTGAGGTACCACAACCCTGGAGTCGGATCCAGCACCTGGCTGACCCCAGGGATGCTCCGGACATGGGGAGCACCCTCTGAATCCCCCTGGGAGCTAATCCTGCCATGGATCCAGGGGGGAATATGGGGCTGAAAATCCAGCATGGATGAGTTGAAGGGATCAGAATGCTTAGTGGGGGGATCAGATCCCCACAGCATGGCAGGGACCCACCCTGGGACACGCCGTGATGTCCATCCAGCCACATCCCTCCCAACAGGAGCATCCTTGAGCTGGGACTGCTGCTGGGATGGGACTTATCTCTTCTGCCCACCCCGCTTCCCTCAGCCTCCAGAATGCTTTCCATCTGTTCCCAGCCTTTGTGTGGAGCTGGTTTCACCCAAACTTTTCCAGGCTCCCGGCTCCGTCACCTCCCTCCTTGTTTCCATCCTGCCTTTGCCAGACCCCTGAGGGGGTTATAAATAGCAGTTTTCTGGATGTCATCCCAGCCTTGAGGTGCCAATTTTGTGCCACCCCGTCGTGCCATCTCCATGTTCCCAAAGCAGGAAGGACTTTCCTCATGTCAGATCCCTCATGGCCTTCAACTCAGAGCCAGTCCCAGGCTAAATGTGAGCCTAGACTGGGATTTGGGGGTTAATTTTAGGGAATAACAGGCAGTAAGTGATGCTTGTCCCAAGGTGTAGGTATCAAACTCTTGCTCATCCCTAAAATAATGCTTTGGTGCCAAAAATCAACACTTTGCACTCTAAAAATGGATCTTTGAAGGCTCAAAATTAGGTTTTGGTCCCCAAAATGAGACTCTGGAAGGTAAAAAATGAGGTTTGGAGCCAAAAAAAAGAGCATTTGGATCCTTGGATCGCTCAAAATGAGGGTTTGGCCCCCAAATATGAGACTCCAGGAGCTAAAATTGAGGCTTTAGACCAAAAAAAAAAAGTATTTGGCTCTTTGGAGGCTCAAAATGAGAGTTTGGTCCCCAAAATGAGACTCTGAAAGCTAAAATTGAGGGTTTAGGCAAGAAAAAAGAGCATTTGGATCTTTGGAGGCACAAAACGATGATTTGGTCCTCAAAATGACTCTGAAAGGCAAAAAAAATGAGGTTTTGGGGCCAAAATAATAAGCATTTGGATCTATAAATAAAGCTTTGACCTCTAAACCTGAGGCTTTGGACCTTCAAAACCAGATTTTGGGCTGTCAAAATGAAGCTGTGGGCACTTAAGATGAGCTTTTGGACCTCAAAAAGAGTGTCGTGACTTAAAATGAGAGTTTGCACCCTAAAAATTAAGTTTTCAATCCTAAAAATCCAAGCTTTGGACTCCAAAATGAGGCTTTGGGACCTAAACATGAGGCTTTGAGCTCTAAAAGTGGGGGTTGGACCCTAAAAATTAAGGGTTTGGATCCTCAAGGTGTGTCTTGGAGCCTAAAAATGTGTGAGTGGATGGAACTCTGGAGCTGGAAAATGAGGGTTTGGAGCATTACAAGGCTACTGGGGTTTAATGGGATGGCACCTCACCTTGGGGACCCTTGGGGGACACTCACCTTGGGGACCCCTGGGGGACACTCACCTGGCAGACACAGCAGGAAGAGCCCTGTGGCTCTCATCCTGATGGAATGATGGAGGAGCAGCGTGGGCTGGGATGAAGCCAGAGGAGCCTGGATGGAGCAGAGGGAATACAGAAGGATCAGGGAAGAACAGGGGGACAAGAACCCCCAGGCCCTTACCTCCAGTGATGCTCCCAGGAGCTGGTTCAGAAAACAACCCCAAACCTCAGAAATGAAGAAACTTCCTCCAAAAATCCAGGCTGGGCTTCCTGCCCTGCCCAGACATTCCCAGGGGATTTGCAAGGACCAAGCCCTGGAATATCCCTCAGGCAGAACAGGGATGAGATGTTGAACCAGCACTGTGGGAGGAGAGTCTGGACCCCCTTGGTGATAACAGAGCCCTGGGAGGAGGTTTCTGGCTCCTTTCCTGCAGTGTTCATCCCAAATTCCTTGGGAAAGGCCTTGTTTTGAGGGTTGCCATCCTAGGGAATGTTGCATTTGTGTGGACATCCCTTAAATCCAAAGGGATGTGGAGATTTGAGGAGAAAACTATGGATTTGAAGAGAAATCCTGTGCTGGCACTGGGGTTTGGCAGCCTTGGAGTACTCATGGCTTCCCAGAGCTTTCCAAGTCTGCTTTCCCCGGCAGGAAGACAGGCCAAGGCCAGCTGTGCTGCTGGTGAGACAGGACTGGCAGGGATGCAGGAAGCCCTTCCCCCTCATCCCGAGCCAGCTCCAGGGGAAAAACTAGGGGAAAAGAGGAATTCTCCCAATAAACTCCTTTGAAATCCAACCGAAGGTGTTTGAAGGATAAAGCACGTTGGTTTTCCCGGCACAACGAGATTCCACAGGGATGGAGAAGCTCTTCTGGCATCTCCAGCTCTGCTGCCTGAGCAGGGAAACTGAGGCATGAGGTGGGGGGGCAAGG